AGTACAGGCCCATCCTCTGCTCCCAGGTCAAGGACCACTGCAAAGTCGTCTGTGTCAATGGGAAGCACTGGGTCTGCACCAGGCCCCTCCCCACAGCCCCTCCTGACTGGGACTACGCCCGCATCTGAGAGAGATGGTTCCCGAGGCCCCGGGAAACCCCGGAGGCATTTTCCCAACAGGCCACCACTCCTGAGTATCACCGGGCTGGACTTTTCCAAGGCTCACCTGGCCTACGTGAAGCAGTGGCTTTGGAAGGCATCTCTGAAAGAAACACAGCAGGCCCCACTAAGGGGCTTATATATCAAACTCTCATCTCCCTGGGACAGAGCACCTGGAGGAAGGGGTGGCTGTGGGCACAGCTTCCACAGACTTAAACATTCCTGCCTGTTGGCTCTGAAGAGAGCAGTGGATCTCCCAGCACAGCGCTGGAGCTCTGCTAAGAGTCAGACTGCCTCCTCAAGTGGGTCCCTGAACCCCATGCCTCCTGACTGGGAGACACCTCCCAGCAGAGGCCGACAGACACCTCATACAGGAGAGCTCCAGCTGGCTCTGGTGGGTGCCCTTCTGGGATGAAGCTTCCAGAGGAAGGAGCAGGCAGCAATCTTTGCTGTTCTGCAGCCTCCACTGGTGATATCCAGGCAAACAGGGTCTGGAGTAGACCTCCAGCAAACTCCAGCAGACCTGCAGCAGAGGTGCCTGACTGTAAGAAGGAAAACTAACAAACAGAAAGCAGTAACATCAACATCAACAAAAAGGATGCCCATGCAAAAACAATAACATCAACATCAACAAAAAAGATGCCCCATCTGAAGATCACCAACATCAAATAACAAAGGTAGATAAATCCATGAAGATGAGGGAAAACCAGCACAAAAAGGCTGAAAATTCCAAACACCAGAGCACCTCTTGTCCTCCAAAGGATCATAACTCCTTGCCAGCAAGGGAGCAAAACTGGATGGAGAATGAGTTTGATGAATTGACAGAAGTAGGCTTCAAAAGGTGGGTAATAACAAACTCCTCTGAGCTAAAGGAGCAAGTTCTGACCCAATGCAAGGAAGCTAAGAACCTTGAAAAAAGGTTAGATGAATTGCTAACTAGAATAACCAGTTTAGAGAAGAACATAAATGACCTGATGGAGCTGAAAAATACAGCATGAAAACTTCGTGAAGCATACACAAGTATCAATAGCTGAACTGATCAAGTGGAAGAAGGGATATCAGAGATTAAAGATCAACTCAATGAAATAAAGCATGAAGACAAGATTAGAGAAAAAAGAATGAAAAGGAATGAACGAAGCCACCAAGAAATATGGGACCATGTGAAAAGACCAAACCTACATTTGATTGGTGTACCTGAAAGTGACAAGGAGAATGGAATCAATTTGGAAAACACTCTTCAGGATATTATCCAGGAGAACTTCCCCAACCTAGCAAGACAGGCCAACATTCAATTTCAGGAAATACTGAGAATGCCACAAAGATACTCCTTGAGAAGAGCAACCCCAAGACACATAATCATCTGATTCACCAAGGTTGAAATGAAGGAAATAATGTTAAGGGCAGCCAGAGAGAAAGGTCGGGTCACCCACAAAGGGAAGTCCATCAGCCTAATAGCAGATCTCTCTGCAGAAACCCTACAAGCCAGAAGAGACTGGGAGGCCAATATTCAACATTCTTAAAGAAAAGGATTTTCAACACAGAATTTCATATCCAGCCAAACTAAGCTTTGTAAGCGAAAGAGAAATAAAATCCTTGACAGACAAGCAAATGCTGAGAGATTTGGTCACCACCAGGCCTGCCTTACAAGAGCTCCTGAAGGAAGCACTAAATATGGAAAGGAAATATCGGTACCAGCCACTGCAAAAACATACCAAATTGTAATTACCATCGACACCATGAAGAAACTGCATCAACTAACAGGCAAAATAACCAGCTAGCATCATAATGACAGGATCAAATTCATACATAACAATCTTTTTTTTGTTTTTTTTTTTTTTTGAGACGGAGTCTCGCTCTGTCACCCAGGCTGGAGTGCAGTGGCACGATCTCAGCTCACTGCAAGCTCCACCTCCCGGGTTCACGCCATTCTCCTGCCTCAGCCTCCCGAGTAGCTGGGACTACAGGTGCCCGCCGCCACGCCCCAGTTAAAAGACACAGACTGGCAAATTGGATAAAGAATCAAGACCCATCATTGTGCTGTATTCAGGAAACCCGTCTCACGTGTAAAGACACACATAGGCTCAAAACAAAGGGATGGAGGAATATTTACCATGCAAATGGAAAGCAAAATAAAACGAGGGTTGCAATCCTAGTTTCTGATAAAACAGACTTTAAACCAACAAAGATCAAAAAAAATAAAAAGGGCATTACATAATAGTAAAGGGATCAGTGCAACAAGAAGAGCCAACTATCCTAAATATATATGCACCTAATACAGGAGCACCTAGATTCATAATGCAAGTTCTTGGAGACCTACAAAGAGGTTTAGACTCCCACACAGTAATAGTGGGAGACTTTAACACCCCACTGTCAATATTAGACAGATCAACAAGACAAAATTAACAAGGATATTCAGGACTTGACCTTAGCTCTGGACCAAACTGACTTAATAGACATCTACAGAACTCTCCACCCCAAACTGACAGAATATACATTCTTCTCAGCACCACGTCACACTTATTCTAAAATTGATCACATAATTGTAAGGAGGTTAGTTTTAATGTAAACAAATCTGTCCTTGTTTACCTTGGAGATCTGGGCTAAATCATGGTAAATGTACACTACATAATTATCAAAAAGTACAAGTGTTTCTTCTTCACCACAGCGTTCTGAATTTGAGTCTTAAGTGAACCTCACTCCCTTCTGTCAGAGGACTTTTTGTAATGGAGGAACAAATTGAGAGTGGCCTTGGGAAGGTACTCACAGTGCCTCCACGTGGAATCTTAGCTGTTGGGTCCCCTCCCCTCCCCTCCCCATCTTTCCTTTCTTTTTTTCTTTTTTTTTGAGACAGTCTCACCCTGTGGCCCAGGCTGGAGTGTAGTGGTGCGATCTTGGCTCACTGTAGCCTCTGCCTCTTGGGTTCAAGTGATTCTCGTGCCTCAGCCTCCAGAGTAGCTGGGATTACAGACACACACCACTAAGTCCAGCTAATTTTTGTATTTTAAGTAGAGATGGGGTTTCCCCATGTTGGCCAGGCTGGTCTCAAACTCCTGGCCTCCAGCAATCCATCCACCTCAGCCTCCCAAAGTGCCGGGATTACAGTTGTGAGCCATCATGCCAAGCCTGGTTTTTCTTTGTCTTTGTTATTCCAGAAGTTATTTTTTATTCCAGGTATTTCTCTTCATTTCCTAGGACAGTCTGAAAGTTAAGCCTCCTAGATCTCAAGGGAAACTATCAATAGTGTTTTGTGGATAATGGCTTTGGCTCTGTGTTCAGTGAACCATCCAAGTCTCTTGTGAAATAAAAACAAAACAGGGATTGAGGAGCAAGGGAATATCTCTGAGGACAACATGAAAATGGAAAGCTTTCGGCAGAAAGAAGAGCATTAGTGAGGCATATTGCCAAAATTGAAGATGGAGGCACTAGGGATTCTAGCAAAGCTGTCTGACAAGGGAAAGGGCCTGCTGCCTGCAATTGGCCAAGTGACCAGACGCCAAGCCAAGAGCTACTGGCCTGGCTCAAGGGCTCAGGGGCCAAGGGAGCTGAGTCCTTGCCCTCTAAAGCTCCCCAGTCTCCAAATTAAGAACCTCTCATTGTCCCAGAGCCTCTGGCAGGTGATCCCCCCCACAGTGCTAAGAAGGGATGTGACATCTTCCATGCCCTGTAGGAGTGATACTCATCTGCATTACTAGTTTTGCTGGGTCTCCAATGATCAACCATGGGAACATACACTGTTCTCTAAATTAAGACACCCACAGACCCAAGGAAAAGGGTTTGAGTCCTGAAGGAGTAGGGATGGAGGCAGCCCCTCATATGTGTACTTCCGGACCGAACTGAACTTTGAAGAAGTGATACCCTTATTACAAAAATGTGAAAATATGAATCAGCCAGCCTCAGAAGAATTTGATCTGCCTGTCTCTATCACAGCGGTATTTTTATACAGTAGTATAGTCTTAAAACCTTGACTGTTGCAAGAAAAACTCAACTAAGATTATTTTTATAACTTTGAAGTGTTTCCACATTTTGTGCATAAAGTAAAAGTGTGAACATTTGTCACACCATACTATTTCAAAGGTGCATAATTCAAGTTCACATCAAATTTATAACATCCTGATGAAGGTGTAGTCGTGGGGGACAGCAAAGGCAGCTTGGTGAAGGACAGCATCACAGCTCCGAATATCATCTGTCTGCCTACAGATAACACTTTTATATCTCTAGCCAGGTCCTGTCCTCTAAACTCCAGTCCCATAAATCCCATGCTGTATCCTGCAGGATGACCAAAGACATTTCAACCTTCTCATGTCCTTGCTTGACTCTTACCTGCCTTTCTAAATGCACTTCTCTATGTGCCAACTCCATTCTTCCAGTTGCTCAGGCCAGAAACCCTGGAGGTCTCCATAGCTTTCTCTCTTGCAGCCCATGCCGAGTGAGTCAGGAACTTCTTTGGCTCTACCCTCTCTCTGTCTCATCACCAAATGGACCAAGGCCCTAAACAGTTATGACATTGACTCCTTAGGACCCATATGCTCCAAAATATTTACTCTTTGGTCCTTGACAGAAAACAACTTCTGAGCCTTGTCTTATAGGGAGGATTAGAGAAGGAAGAAACTCTGAAAAGCTGGATGGTAGTAACAAAGGCCATCAGTTTAAAGGTGACATGAAGGATGACAGTTGCACACAGATGAGTTTCACAAATGTCTGCATCTACAGACAGATGGAAGAATAGAAAAAGGCTCTCCTTAAAGGATGAAAGGCATTCATATTTTAGACAATTATCACCATCTTACATGATGACCATCTAAACATACAGCAGGAAAAGGCAGAAATTGTTGGATCGGTTACCTGAAGGATCGGAACTGTAGAGACTGGCGGCTGTTGTTATGGGTCCTGGTGGGTGGATGGCGCTTGCTGAAGACCTCTGACTTGCAATCAGAATCCTGCTCTTTGCAGATGGTAAACGGGACATTGCACCCAATCCTAGCTGGGGCTTAAGGAGCATGGCTGACCGATAGAAAGTTGGAGGGACTTCGTAATGAGCATAGGGAGGAGAACAGAACTCTTCTTTTCCAGGGTGGTCTGTAACCTATGATAGACAAACAAAAACTCAATCAGAGACCTTCACATCATAGTGTGAGTTCTAAATAGGACCACGAGACCGAGGCTGCACCAATGACCACTCTGGTACCACTGAGCTTCTTGATCGCAAGTCCGCTACCTTCCCTGGGCCACAGTGTCTTCGTCTCCTGATTGACAACACACCTGGATGACCTCTCAGGTCTCTTCCAGTTCTACTACTGTACGAATCTGTAGTTTACTGGGGTTAAAAAGAACTCACTGGATAAGATTTTTTAAATTCCATTGTTACAAAATCACTGGAATCTGAGTAAGCAGCCAAACTATAAATGTCAATAAAGCAAAAAAAGCATTTAGCAAATGTTCATAAAATTATGGAGGTTTTATTATACCTGTGGGAAAAAAAGCCGTAATCTGTATGATAACCTAGTCTTAGGCTGACTAGATAAACTGTATCCATTTATATTAGATCTTTACTGGGCTACTTAGGAAGCAAAAAATTGCATTGTTAACAAGGGAGGAAACATTAGCCAGAAAAATAGGGAAGTTAATGGAAAATGTGTTTTCAGACCTGTACTATGTGTTTACCTAAAGACCTGAGCCTCAGTTATGTCCTCTGGTCGTCTGCCCTAGTGAGGTGATGCTCCCAGGAAGGTTTGAGCAAGTTTCACCAGAATGCAAGTTCTAGGGCACAATCTCATCAACTGCTGACTTCAAAGCACCCAAAACAATGTCTAGCACATAGCTAAAGTCAATAAATATTTATTAAAGAATCATGTTTCCATTTTTCCCTAAGTTTAATAATAATATAACGTTACTGTTACTTTCTCCTGTAGCTAGTAGTTTGGCCTAGAATACAACCTGTGGGCAGTACCTTTTATATATGCAATTCTGTACTCATTAAGTCTGTTCACATTATCAATGTTTTTTTCATATTAAACATGAAAAAAAGAGAGAGAACTAAATAATCTATTTCCTTTAAGTTACAACAAAAAATAGTGCTAAGGGCTATAAATGAAAAGATACATCTGTTAATTAACTGTGTTCTAAATCACAGCACATTTTATGTGTCAAACTTGTATCTCAGGAATCATAAGCATTTAATAATATTCTTTAATAAGGGCTATAAAAGCTTTGATCCAAGCTGTTGAAGAGATAAACCCTTAAATTGATACTCATTTAATGTTGAAATAGATACAAAGTCCTCCTTCAAATTGACATTGTAGAAACAAAAGATTAGGCCTTTAAAGTTTTATCATAATCACACTGTAAAATATGCATGATTGTTACAGTAGATAGATTGTACTTGGCTACAGCAAATTATATTCCTATGAAAGAACATTCTACATCTGCACTCTGATAAATTTTTTAACATACTCTACTTACTCTCACTATCAATCTCTGGTTTTTCTCACATACACCCTTTTTTAATTTTAGTTTCTAAATTTTGGGTTCCATTGCACATTGCTTTGAGCAGGTGCTCTTATTAAGAAATTAGTATTACTTCCAAACTACGTCTGTCAGGTTTTAGGATTGCAATATGCTGATCTTAGTAGTTACTCGGTGCCTTGAAACTGAGTAGTATTTAGGGATTAAAATTCACCACAATCTCACTCAACAATGATCTTAACGATTTCAGTAACTTCAATGCCTATCATTTTGTTGGGTAATTTGTTTCTGGTGAGATCACAAATTCTTTAAAAGTGGGAAAACTACGCCTTTGATGTCTAGTCTGTGCATTTTTAATTAAACAAGGGAATCTACAAAAAGCTTCATACTCTTTTCCTTAATCTTTACTGACAGAATACAGCAGGTGACACGGCCCAGTCATAAACACATACAGAACAATCCCAAACACTGCCATTTCCCTCCTTCCATCCCAATGGAGAGTTTTTAGAGAAATCACTTTGAAAGCAAACAAAAGAATCCTATGATTTCAAACGAACTCGTAAAGTCAAGGCATGCAAACAAATACATTCTTACCAGGCTGTCCCTCTTCCTATTTGCCCTGCACTGTTCTCACTGGGAGAGTGTGCCGTGCAGACAGAGGGTACAGGTGGAGGCGTCGTTAACAAGCCACTGGGATAGGGGTGAGGGAAGGGTGTCTGGGATGGTTAATTTTATGTGTCAACTTGGCTGGGTCGCAATACCCAGATATTTGGTCAAGCATTCTAGATGCTGCCATGAAAGTATTTCTTATATTAGATAAACGTTTAAATCAGTAGACCTTGAATAAAGCAGCAGACCCTTCAGCATGTAGGTGAGTCTCAGCTAATCAGTTGCAGGCTTTATTAAAAACAGACTGACTCCCCCTAAAGAAAAGGGGATTCTGCCAGGAGATCACCTTCAGACCCAAGCTGCAGCACCAACTCTACCCTAAGTCTCCAGGCTGCTATCCTGCCCTGCAGACTTTTGATTTGCCAGCCTCTGCAATCATGAGCCAATTTCTTAAAATCAATCAATCAATTTCTCTCTCTATATATATAGATAATGTGATGTAACCTCTCTCTATATACATCTACATCCATGTCTCTCTATATATGATATATATATAGAAATATATATATAATATATATTGAAAGAGAGAAAGAGACAAAGATGTATACACACCACACACACACACACCCCTATTAGTTCTATTTGTCTGGGGAACCCCAATTGATGCAGTGCCCCTCAGAGACGAGTGGCAGCAGTGAGGAGGGACAGCAGCCCTGGATCATACCTCTGTACACTGCACGCACATCGCCCTCCCTCCATCCTCTCAGCCCTGCCCCTTTCTTCCCACCTCCCTTTACCAAAAATAAAAAGGGCTTCCAAGTTGTTGGAGGGAGGGAGTGTCCCTGAGACCTCAGGAGAGCCAGTGGCAGAGGGCACCTGTTTAGGAAAACATATCTAATACCCGGACATGACTAGATCCCAGATGATCTTGGAAGCCACTTGTGGAAGTTTTAAACGCCTGTGCTGCTCCTGCCAACTGGAAAAAGAGTTCCTCTCTCAGAAGAGTGTTTACTCTTGATTTTCCCACTTCTACCCATGCTACGTAACCAGCGGGGATCTGTCGACAATGATGGAAGTGTCTGAAGCTGGTTTGGGTTTTTATTTTTAAGAGGTTCTCATTTTATTTTTAAAAATCTGGTTTCTATAACTGAAAAATATTTCTATTGCAACACATTATCACAAATGTGTTCTTGTCCTAGAGACCAGACTGCGGCCGCCCCATGGTGAGCTTGGGGCGCACTGGCAGAAGAAGTCGGCTTTTTAATCTCCCTGCACTGAGCTCAAACACAAGAGGGGGACTCGCTGGGTTAGAGCATGTCAGAGCAGTAGCAGGTGGCCAAGGATCAGCCTGTTCCCCACTTTTTACGAGTAAAGAAGGTTATCATAGACACCAGTACAACACCTGGGTATCCTCCTGCAGCCTGAAAACGAGCCTGGGTCTCTCAGATGCTCTGATGATGGCAGAAAATGGTCCCCAGGTACAGGGAGGGAAACTGACATTTCAAATGAACTTGTAAAGTCGAGGCACAAAAACAAATAAATCCTTTGGAGACGACTTTGGGATGCTCGAAGTGTGAGGCCATGATGCTCTCTCCACGCCAGTGGGGTCTCTCTGAACCCCTGAGAACCGCCAAAGCCACACAAAGTCCATACAATCCCATTTCCTTGAGTGGTGTCTAGATAATGAAGTAGAGAAAATAGTTTGGGGACAATATGCGTATAATATATAAACTATTATTGGAGGAAGCAGAAACAACACAGAAAAGAAATATACAGAAAAATACAGAAGGGCACAAAGAAAGAATTACAGACAATGCGGGGTTTGGGCCTACATATCCAAATCAATTTCCCTCATGAGTTTGTTTTTATAGAGAAAAATCTAGGCTCTGGCTATGGTTTGGATACGGTTTGTCTCTGCCAACTCTTATGTTGAAATGTGATCTTCAATGCTGGAGGTGGGGTCTAGCGGGAGGTGTGTGGGCCTTGGGGGCAGATGCCTCATGAATGGCTTGGTGCCCTCCTTTTGGTAATGAGCAAGTTATTGCTCTATTAGTTCTTGCTGTATTAGTTCCTTGATCCTTAAAGAGCGGCCTGGCACCTCCCCTACTCCCCTCTTGCTCGTCTCTCACCACGTGATCAACGCACACATGGTTCCCCTCCCCCTTCCCCCATGAGTGGAAGCAGCCTGAAGCCTCACCATAGGCAGATGCTGGTGCCATGCCTCCTGTCCAGCCTGCAGAACCATGAGCCAAATAAACCTCTTTTCCTTATAAATTGCCCAGCCTCAGGTAATCTTTCATAGCAACACAAATGGAGTAAGACAGGTCTCTTCATGGAAACTCTGCAGTGATTCCCTGCCTTATAGAAGAGCACAGCTTCAGAGCCTGACCCTGAGCCTCAGAGGCCCAGGTGGATGAATGTTTAGAAATTTGAGAATGACACTGTAACCAAACTCAGAGACTGATGTATAAAACCAGAAGGGCAATTTGTTCACTTTTAATGGGAGACCACTGCCTACAGCCAGACTCAAGTGTCCTCTAGCCAGAACATGCTCTCATTGCAGGGCACAGAGTAAGAAGTCACTTATAAACAAGATGTCAAGCAGCCCCGTACAGCAAGACAAACCCTGCCAAGCTGACTGGACCCCTGAATTGTCCAGTCCGAATCCTCTCCAGAGATGCGAGGTAGGAAGTCAGTTATAACCAGAGGCCTGGTGGCAGGCCCAGAGTCAGAACACAGGGAGCAAGTTGTGTGATTTTGTTGCTAAGGACCTGCTGCAAGGCAGCACAGCTGGTCGGCTTGTTGGACCACCTAGTCAGTGATTGCCTATGTCAGTGTTTGCTGCCAAGAATGGATTCAACTTTGTCTTTGTGCTAGATATGACAACTTCTGCTGTGATTGATATATGCTTTAAATATGCCAATACATGTAACCAAGCTAGAGTCCAAATTTGGACTCAATCATCCTATCTCTAGAAACCCTTGGTACACTTTTTTATGGTTGCAACACATATGGAGTTCACGATTCAGTTATCATTCAACATTTCTTGAGCACATACTTAAGCGCCATTCTAAATTCTGGGAACTCAATGGGGAAGAAAATATTGAAAACAATCCCTTCCCTCATGGAGTTTACATTATAGTCAATGCAGGAAAACTAAAGAAGTGTTTATGGCAGGTGGAGGCAAGTGCTAGGAAGAAATAAATCAGAGAAAGGGGATTCACAGGCAAGATGGGTGGCCTTCCCAAGGAGATAACGTTGAAGCTCAGACCTAAAGGAAGTGAGGGAGAGAGCCACCTGGATAACTGGGAGAACATTCCAAGCAGAGGGAGGTACAAAGGTCCTGAAGCAGCAGAGTGAGAAAGGGAAAGTGGAAGGAGAGGAGCGGGGGTAGCTGACAGAGCCCCAGTAAGCACATCCTAAAGGCTTAGCCATCCTACAGGCCCCAGCTTGTGTTCCAAGCAACCTGGGCAGCTCTGGAGGGGGTTAGAGACAGGATGATCTCATCCTGCCTTTTTTTTTTTTTTTTTTTTTGAGACGGAGTCTCATTCTGTCACCAGGCTCAAGCGCAATGGCGCGATCTCAACTCACTGCAACCTCTACATCGTGGGTGCAAGCAATTCTCCTGCCCCAGCCTCCCAAGCTGCTGGGACTATAGGCGCCTGCCACCACGCCCAGCTAATTTTTGTATTTTTAGTAGAGACAGGGTTTCACCATGTTGGCCAGCACGGTCTCGATCTCCTGACCTCATGATCTGCCCACCTCGGCCTCCCAAAGTGCTGGGATTACAGGCGTGAGCCACCGTCCTCAGCTCCTGCCTTACTTTTAACTGATCACCCGGCTGTCATGAAAAGACTCCTTCAGGAGACAAATCTTTGTTCTGAGGTCTCGAAGGATGACCCACCATAGCTCCCAGGTACTTAACTAGATACACAAAATAAACTTCTCCGGGGTGGTTTCTGGGTGTGCTTCCCCACACAGATCCTGTCCCTCCAAGGACAGCACGGCGCAGTCTGAAACTGCACAGGCCTGGGTGAGACTCTCAGAGCTCTCCTTCCTTCGTGGTGGGTGACTTAAAGCTCTCCGTCTGTTTCTGTATCTATACGGTGATAAAAACTGCAATACCAACCCTCACGGAATTACTGCAAGGATTAGCAAAGATCAACAAAGATCAAATGCTGTATTATACAGGCCCAATGCAGAGCTGGCCCTCAATTAAATGTTAGTTGTAATTATTATTTTTATTTTAAAGAAAGAGTCCATGCCTAACACACTGTTTTCTGCTCATTTGCTATCTTCACACGTACGAATAAGAGACACTCCTAGGTAGAAAATACTCCCCATTGAGGAATGAGTCTGATCTATTTGAAGAATACAGTAATTTTGCATTCTTTCTTCCTTTGACCTAGCTTATATTATATTCTATTCACTTATTTAAACATGGAAGCCTATTTAATGCATACTCATCCAATTTCATACGAATTATAGCAAGTGAAATTTCAATGGGTCTCCTTAGATACTGGGTGCATCTTATTAAGAGAATCAGACTCTTCCAGTTAAAAATGGTCATTTCTCTAGACAATCTGCTCTAGTCAAAGACTCCATTTCTCCACAAGTGTATCCATGAAAATCTGCAATTCACTTAAAGAGGACATTTTACAGTCATAACTCATTGAAAATATGTCACAGATTTTGGGACAGTCAACTTACAGACCATATCATGATGACATTCTCTTACCTCCTGCAAAAACTTTTCACTCATTTGACTGAAAGGATGTCCTGGGGGCTTGATTCCAGACACCATCAATCCGGAACTGAAGACCCTTGGCTTCTGCAGGTCTGGCTTGAATTTCTCATAGAGGTTGGCAGACGGCTTCAGGTCACCACTCGCGGCCTTCTCTTCATGGGGAAGAGGCATGGTACATGTCGGCGGGGCGTATGGAAGCCCCACTGGAAGCAGCGAGGCGTCCACCTGGCCCAGGGCCTGGGGACTCCTCCTGATGTAGGTGATGATCTTGGGCCTCACATGCTTGGGCTTGGGCATAATGACGGGCTTGGTTTCTGTCCTCTCCTCTGTTTTTTCAACCTGATGGTTCTCCGTGCCCTCCTGCGAGGAAGGGGCATCCTTGGAATGTGTGAAGACAGGCTTGGGGATCCCACTGGGGCAGGCGTTCTTGTCAGGCACTTTGGGGGATGTGTTCGACAAGCGTGCACTATCAGCAGGGGGTGGTACCGCCAAGGGGGACACTGCATCCATACCGAACACGCTAACATCCTGAAAACGGCTACTGGGTGTTGTAGGCTGGTGGGTCATGTTCACAGTTGTCTCTGGGTGGAGGGGTGCTGGAATATTGAGAACTGAATCTACTCTTGCTGAGGTGCGTTCAATCTTATCTGCATTCTCTAGAAGGTTCCTGTTTTCAGCAACAGATGTGGTGATCTCTCCGCTTTCCCGTGCTTCTGAGCTGCCACTTTGAGGTTCCAGGGGCTCAGGCACCTCTGTCTGGCTCTCTCCAACAGAAGGATTGAACACCAGAACTGTAACACTGTCCTTGTCCACTGTGGGTTGCCCACTGCCCAACTGCCTTTCCTCCTCAATGACATCCAAGGGTTTGCTGTCAGTCAGATTAGTAGGAATAAAAGCCACATGACCATCACCTGGTGAAAAGCTGCCGGATGTCCTTTCACCCAACTTCCCACCTGCACATGGTGAAATGTTGCCAGTGGGCTGACTATCAGCCCCTCCTAAGGAAGCAGAGGCCTGTTTGGGGGTGGCGTGGAGAGAATCCGGCTTCCCTGGGTTGACTCCTCTCTTCTCTTCACTGTTGCCTCTTCCCACCCCAAGGTGGTGGAGGTCACTGTTTGGCAGAGAGCCAAGTGCATCGGTGGTTTCTGGGTGCGCTTCCCCACACAGATCCTTTCCCTCGAAGGCTGACAGATTCTCTTCCCTGTGGCATCCCAGATACCCTTCCTGGGCTGCCTTTCCCTCTTGTTCAACCCTCCTGGGTGAAACATATTTCAGCTCCACCTTGGCCTCTGCCTTTCCCTGACCTAATTGTGCTTCTGGCTTACTCGGGATTTCCTTCAATGCCAAAGTCAGATTCAGAGCAGGCTGTGGATGGGTGGAACGTGGTATGTGCTCACTGCACGCCTGCAGTACATGTGCTCCCACTGTCTGGGTCTCTGAGGGGGTGCTCTGCTTGGTCTCTGAGGTAGATGGTTTAGGATGACGCACACTCTTTCCCTCTGAGGTACTGTCAGTTGGAGGGAACGCTGCCGGGAGAGCGTGGTCTGGCAATGTCTTCTGTGGCCCCTCCCCAACCCCAGGCACCTGACCCCGTGCTTCCTGGGAGTCAAGGGGCGCAGGCTGTGGATGCTGCGGAGTCAGGCTCCCGACTACAGCTACAGAGCTGCTTGCTCTTTCCAAAGAATGTCTCCTCAGTTCCTCATTGTTGAGGGTCTTTGCCAATTTATCCTTGGGAACGTGCCAGGGAATTTCAGCATCCCTTTTAGCCAAAACGTCTAGACTGGCCTCACCCATCACATTTCTCCAACTCGACAGACTCGGTCCCTGGACACTCCGCGGGGTCTGCAGGCTCTCTGTGCCTCTCTCCATTGTGTGCTCCTCATTGAGTTCCCTCTGAATGGTTGAAGAAAGTCTAAAATCTTTCAGGCTGGTGGAGCCAGGCTGAGATCCCTTCTCAAAGCCCTGAAGTTGCTGAAATTCCTTATGGAAATGGGTACGGTTTTCTGGCTCACTTGAATTTGTATTTCCAATTTCATCTTCCAGGTCACATGTCTTGGACTCATCATGAGAGGAGCTGACCTCCAACATGATTTGATTGGCATTTGTATCTCCCAGACTTAGGATGCTCTCATTATTATTTCTTGCTGCATTTCTGTTGTCCCGCAGCTGAGTGTAACATGATTTCTTAGGAGCCACTGGGACGCTCATTGTCAACCCTTTGGTGGGGCTGCTTGCCATGCAGTCCTACTTAATGGAAATGGGCTGCCTTCAAGCTGCAATCAGATTAATAGGAAATTCTCAGGCTGCTTGTCCTCCCCTGACAATGTCACCTTGTGACACTGCTTTAATCATTCTCAGAACAGCTTGAAAAGCAAGCATTCTCTTGATATACAGCAGGAAGACTTATCTGTTAGGTTCCTGCTGAATGAGAGCCAATTAGTCCGTGAGACCTAGAGAGAAATAAAAATACATTCACATTAGATGGACAAATAGAACTTCTCAGGAGGAAAAAAGTAAACGCAGATGTATTGGTCATTTCTATACTATTATTTCATTCACTCGATAGTTTTCTCAAAAACCTTTCTGATCAGGGCTCCTGCTGACCAAATACGGACAAAAATTAAACATCAGAATGTTTAATGTTAGAAATGGATTATAAATGCATGTGAAATCTTAAATCCAAATTTTAAACATCCACAAGTCTATACTGATACTGATTTAAAAGGGTGGAGGAGAAGTAAAGGCTCTTCTTTACAGAAGAGCATCAACGAATGTAGAAAAAAATTTACAGAATTTGAAAAATCACTATTTTGCAATCTCTGCATTAATAATTATCTTGCACAAGGGATGCCAAAGGTACAAACATTGGGTAAAAGATTGTTGGGGAACAAGATATTTATAGATGCTTAAAGTATCTTCCCCCCAGCTACTTTATTTCTTACAAAAAGAAAATTTGATCTTTACAATGGAGAGATCTGGTAGACACCACATTAACCACGTGATCAAATTTAACATCACTGGTATCGAAACTGACATGACGGACTCCTGATATTAGTTAGTTCTCAGGGCCACACATCACCTACGCAGTAATGTTCAATCAGAATTTAACCATGAGAAAATAACCTGGCGAATTTAAATTGAGGTATATATTAAAAAATAACTGGCCTAACTGGTCCCAAAAAAAAAGTCAGCAGAGGCTGGATTTTCAAAATATGTTAGCAAAGGATATTATTAGGACAATGAGAGATGTAAATATGGACTGTATATAAGGTACAGGTATGTCATAATTAATTTCCTTGGGTGTATAATCGTGCTATAATTATGCCAGAGATTATCTTTGTTCTTGAAATATCCATGCTTTAGAATTCAGGGGTAGTATGTCATAATTTCTCTAACTTATTCTCAAATGATTCAACCAAGAAAAACATGTGTATGTATGTGTGTGTGCATATGAGAAGGAGAGAGTAAAAGAGAGAAAGAAACTGGCAAAAGTCAACCATTTGAATATCTAGTTAAGAATTCTACTACATCTGCAGCTTTTCTATAAGTTTGAAATTTTCCAAAATAAAAACTTGGGGGAAACACTTCATTTCGGCCTTCGAGGCCTGCATGATCAGGCCCTGAACACCTTTCTGGCCTCGTCCCCACCTCACCATCTGCTCTGCAGGCTGCTGCCACATTGGCCTCATTCCTCACAGTACCATGTTCATTACTCCCTGCCTCAGGGCCTTCCCACATACTTTTCCATCTGCATGGAATGTGGAACCATCCCCCAGCCTCATCTAACAAGTCCTTTGCATCCTTCAATATGCAACGTAACTACCACTTCCTCCAGGAAGCCTTCCTGACTGACTAGGTCGTCCTATAATGATGAATTTGTAATATCCTGTATTTTCACTTTGAAGAATTTAAAAAAAAAGACTTTCTGATTTGCTAGACACTGAAAATAAATATTGTCTAATACCTGGCATACATATTAGGCACTTAGTATGTATTTGTAGCACGGACGAATGAATACATGACCAGATGAATGATGAGGAAGATCAGTGTTATTTCTGCCCCCAAAGAGTTTAAAATCCACACAGGATATGCTTTTCTGTGAAAGTAGACTCACAGATCACCACTAAACCATTCCACTCAAGGTTGACGTTGTTTGATCCACTACTATGAATGTGTTTTATTAGGCACTGGGGATAGGGGATTTTAACAGTAACAAGGTTCGGCCCTATCACCAATTCCCCCAATGGAGACTCGAAGCCTTCCACACTCTCCTCCTCATTCATCAAGAATACACAAGCACAGGTGCACACCACACAGGAGGCTACTGTTACGTTTCTCCTGAAACAGGTTACATGGCAATGTGGCCACCCACTTGTTTTCCCTTCATCATTGTTACTATGCTGTTTCATATATTAAAAAGAATATGAGGGCTGGGCACAGTAGCTCCCACCTGTAATCCCAATGCTTTGGGAGCCTGAGGTGGGAGGATCACTTGAGGCCAGGAGTTCAAGGCCAGCCTTGGCAACACAGGAAGACCCTGTCTCTATTTAATAAAATGTTTATGTTATAAAGCAAAATCATATAATACACGACAGTCCATCACCCAACCCAAGGACACCTTGCAGCCATCCTCATGCTCCTCCTCACTGAAGCCCTCTGTGTTTCCAAATTAGAGCTCTCTTTTCTTTCACATCTATACATAAGCAGGTAAACTGTTTTACATACATAAGATCATTTCTTATAAGCTGGTTTTTGTTCCGTTTTTTAAAATTTGCCTCTTCTACCCCATACCCCAAGACACATTAACATCTAGATCTTTCCATTTCTTTCCCCATGTTTGTATGATCATGGGAAAATACACAGCCATACCTGTGCATGTGCGCTTGCATTTCCCTACCACACTGCTCTTCTGTGCCTTCCACGACTCCCTCACTGTCCTCATCCTCTGCACTCTCATGCTTTTTCTCCTTCTCCACCTTCTCCTCCCAGCCTTATCTCCAGGAAGCCAGTAGCACCCCTGGTGCAGCCTGACCCCAATATAGCGCTCAGCCAAGCTGCTGATACCCTGATCCCAGTCTTCGTTTCCTGACACAGAGGACATTCTCAACAAACCCTTGTTTCTTTGTTTATTCAATCTTAAAAGTGTTTCCCTTGAAGATACACATGTTCTCTAAGCACAAATACAAAAAGGATGTAGGCAAATCAGTAAGACTGCAGTTTAAAAGAATGCTGTGCTCTCCGGGTGGAGAGACAGGTATCCTGGAAAGTCGAGAAGGGCAACAACGTTCATAAATATAGACCATCCACAGAAGGGAACTGCCTCTAATTTTCTGCGGGCAGAAGTGTAAATATGCAGCCAAGAGCGCTCTTCGGTTTGAACTGCTGAAGCTGGGAGAAAGAAAGCAACTTTGCTTAGCAGAGACAAACAAAAACAAAGCATCAAAGTCCACGACACGTAACATGACTGCAAGAAAGTGACAGAGAAGTATAAAACCAACGTCCGTGCTAGAAAGAGTTGTGTTTTAATTTTTAAGGAATTACGTCATAAATGTTCTTTTAAGTTTGTCAGTAAACAATAACAGTAAACAATAACCAGTGGTACTCGCTGGTAAGGGGACAGAATAAAAGCTAGAACCTGCTAGGGGCCCAGTATTTTCTCAGCAGTTATACAAATTTGTTCAAAAACTTGCGACAGGATCTCGTTCTGTTGCCCAGGCTGGAGTGCAGTAGCACGTTCATAGCTCACTGTAACCATGAACTCCTGGGCTCGAGAGAGCCGCCTGGGTCAGCCTCCCAAGTAGCTGGGACTACACGTGCACATCATCACACCTGGCTAATTTTTTTATTTTTGTAGAAATAGGGTCTTGATATACTGACCAGACTGGTCTCAAACTCCTGGCCTCCAGTGATCCTCCCACCTTGGCCTCCCAAAGTGCCAAGATTACAGGCATGAGCCACAGCACGTGGCCTAAAATGTAACTTTAAATTAAAATTACACAATTATAAGTCTTTAATATTAAATTTTAATTTAAGTTAGGACACTTAATATTTATAGCAGGCCTCCAGAGACAGGTCTTCACATCCCCTTGCTTTTTTTTTTTTTTTTTTCCCCCACTTCCCGGTATGGAAATGAAAGCACAGAGGGGGTAACATTCCCAAGGTCACACAGCTCATGAGTGGCAGAACTGGGACACAGATAGAAAGCAGAAGCTGTAAAGAAGAAAAGCTGCCCATGCACGGAATCATACACCACACAGGAAGAACAAAAGGAAAACACACTATTGTAAGAACAAGAACAGAAAAAACCAAAAACAACATGTGGAAGTTCACATAAGACAGGAAAAGCAAATTTAAAAACTTTCTTCAATTTTGTGAGGCAAAATTATGCACAGGAAGTCGTGTTTCCTGTCGCCATCCCTCCCCCTTATGTGGCTTCACACGTCTCCCTCACCCCAGCTCCCTCAGCCTGCCATAAGATAGCAGCAAAGTAAACACAAACACGAATTTCTTTCCAGATCTAAATTTCAATACAAGGCCCTCTACTAAGATAAATGTTTTCACAGAACATATAACATGACCATAAAAGTTCAAACTCATAATAATACAGGACTGTGTGTGATTAAATAAAATATGCAAATAGGTCAACCAAGGGTACAAACCCCTAGCTGAAGTGCATTTTCCCAGAGTGAGACATAGAACTTTCATATGCCTTAGATCCATTATTACAAAAAGTTAAGAATGATGGCCTTAGAGGTAAGTGGTATTGTATCTTGAAAAAAGAATCAATTAGTTAAGTACTAGTTTGAAAGGAAGGTAAAGATCTAGGCTTATAACCTGCCTGATGCTTAATAGTCTTCTAAGTGGTTTCCCCTGGTTCTAGGGCCAGAAAATTCACCACACATCTGCGCAGGGTCTCTGTTGGCAAGCTCTGCCTCCCTAGAGCAGAATGAGGCAATTCTTCCACCAGATGACCTTTCAGGTATTTACAAAGAGCTATATGCTCTCTTCCTCCCAAAACCTATTCTAATCCTTGTCAAAGAACTCAGATTCTCCCAACTGTAGGATTAGCTTTTGAAAACTCTCACCATCCAAACAGCTTTCCTCTAAGTACATGCACCAGGGAACCTGAATTCCCTCCTAAACAAGGTGCCCAGAGCTATGCCAATACTTCAGTTCTAACTGCATCATCTAGAGTCACAAGAAAGCATGTCTTCCATTCTCTTAGTTATACTTCTAACCACTCATTCTAAGAATGACCTCCTCATGGACATATAAATCACCCTCTAGTTCCACATCAATTAAAACATCAAAGTACCATATAAGTTGTCCTAAACTCCACTGACTCAATCCGAGACATTTGTAACTGGCTTTAGCATCCATGCGTGGGATCATAAAAACATACTTCTCAAACATCATCTTGCTGATCTCAATGCATCATTCTATCCTTTTA